AGAGGAAGTTGTGCTGCTCGACGTGGAAAATCTCACCTGAGAATGCCGATGCAGAGATTGACCACAATATAGTAGAGAGAGTAGAAGCACAGCATACACATCAACAGGTTCTGAAGAACAGCCTGACGACAAGCACACAACATAGCCACACTCAGTGCTTCTGGGAAACATCAGTACATCAGTTGGTTCTAGTAGTGTTAGGATTATTAATCAAACATGTTCTATTGGCATAGAGGCCTGAATTATTCCTGCACATGGTTTCTGTTATTTAGTCACTCCTTCACAGAAAAGCTTCAGTCTTACATTACAATTCACTGAAACCAAGGCCTATAGAAACATAGCTACTGCTACAGGGACACAGTGGATCCTTCAGGATCAGATCTGCTGCACCATAGATAATCAGACTTTACCCAGGTGTCATTGGGCTTGCTGTTGAGGGGCAGTTGTTGGCCATGGCGTTTGATCAGTGTGGTCCCACAGCACCGACAGCAGTAGTCCAACAACATGAATGGCCAGCGATACTTTGATCGGCGCTCTCGCAGGTAGCATACGACTGAATCAGTGCATCTGTCATGGCTGCTCTTAATAAGATTAGCAACGCTTCCGTAAATCTGGGCAGGACAAAGCCCACCTCCAGGCCCGGGCTGCACTAACTAATTACCCACACACACTAAAAATACTCCTCGTTAAGTTAGGCTGTGCTAGAATACCTCACATTAGCCTCCCGCTAGCACAGTTAAGGACATTTGTTTCAAGATTGGTTTCTGTTCTATAGCACTTCTAACATTTTAGAAATGGTGCAGATTTCAGATTAACACTGTGCACCAACTGCAACACATGGGTAAGACCATGCACACAATTTAGGCCTGTACTTGTTTGAAATAATATGTGGGTCATTCCTGTTAGGAAGCATCTTTTGGATATATATATTTTTTAAACAAAAATAAACATGCTTGTGTTGAAATTGCCCTTTGAATGAACATACACTCCCTTCAAACTGGAGTCATGGCTGAATATCCTGTGATGTTCACTTCGCAGGGCACTTACGGTCGAATAGAACAAACATCTGAAGTGATAAGAGACACATACAAAATGTGCTGGAATTGAGAACCACTGCCCTCGAGATATTTAAAGATTAGTTGACCAGCTTCAAATGATCAGTATACGAGCATAAGAAATGTAATAGAAGAATTTAATATGCAGAGGTACACTAACTGCAGACAGGTCCGGCGCTGAACCTGATACAAGAGCTTGGTATTGCAGAAACGTATATATTAAGGGCTCACCTCTGCCTTGAAAATCTCTTTGGCCTTTGAACTCAATTTGCAACATGAATTCTTTATGTTAGCATGACGCCGAGTCCTTGCAAGTGGCCGAATTAAAACTATAACCAAAACCACCTGCTGCAGGCATGCAACTCCAAACTGCACTGATTACATGAGCAGCGATGGCAGTCGTTTCAATAAATGTGTACATCTCTAATCTAAACAGGCCTGACAAACAACTAAGTTTCAGCTTGATTAGATAAAGTGCAAATAATGACTAGTTAAAGCCTGAATTACACTCCTAGTCAGAGTGTGCACTAATAAATAGCACTTGTGGCACAAATTGCATAATAAATAAATACAGCTCTAGACTGCTTGGTTGGCTAACCAAATACCATGTTTTATGGTTGTTTGTCATTTAGTGTTTTATCCAAAGAAATAAGATGAATTCTACTCTGTCAGCATCTGTTGTGACTGTGTTTAAGTCTACGAGGTGCATTCATTTACACAAGCAAAGTGCATTGAACAGTTAAACAGGCTTTCAAGAGACCAAGGCTCACAGAAACCCACTCGCTTTAAGCCTGAACTTAGTATAGTAGGCTATAATTGAGTGCGTTTTAGTTTAATAGTATCTAGTGTTGCTATAAACAACCGAGTTCAGTGTGTTATTATGTAGCGGTAGCCTACTACAACTGAAAAGCGGTGCGTGATACAGTGTTGCGTTGCGCTAAATCCGCTAATTTCTGTATGGTTCAGGGTTATTTTGTTGCTCTGTGCAGCACAGTTCAGACTCGTTTGCACAGATAGGCTCGACTACACAGACACTCTTGGTGTGGTAGCCTTCACAGCGTTTGTTTGCGTCACATTTCTCCAATAAAACCACCGTCAGCACTCGAGAGTTCGCTCGTTTGTATTTACGGAGACGTTTCTGTACATTTTGGAAGCATGGGTTGCACGCAGGAATTTATTTTTAGCAACACAACAGCAATGGCGATGTTTTGCGCCGTCCGACCACGTCGCCGCGCGTTAGAAGAGCCGCGGGCGGCGCGGGGAGCGTCAGCGACATCGTCGAGATCCGTCGGAATTGTTTCAGCGCAAAACTTTCGATATTGTCATGATGGGCGAGTGTGAAGCGCCACGGCTGTGCGCATGCGCACTGGAGTCCGCCTGGACCAATTTCTCAGTACTCGTGGGAGAATTTGGGTAAGAAACAGACAAATTAAAACAATCGCACGCTAGAATAAACTGCTTGTGTAGCATTTCATACTCTTTAACAAACCTTTATGCGCCGTCTCAGACTTTCGCGGGAGGTGTAATGCTTAGGAATAATAATGAAAGTTAGATTTAAAGTAGAAAACGCCTGGACGTGTCATCAGCAGGAAGAGAGTATGAAATAAAGAATAACGCGAATGAATGACACTCAGAACAGACGCAGTCGATAGACAGGATCAAAGTGTGCATGTGCGGCTGATGGCAGGAATAAAGCATAGGTTTATCTGTGTGTGTAGAATAATGCAGAGCAGCAGTGCATTCGCTCCCGTGTGCTGGAGACGGCAGGAACTGCTCGTGCCAAACAAAACACGTCTCGCGCGGTCGGCTCAATCATGCACTTTAAATGTCATTGATCAGCAATAATGTCGCGATTCGCCAGGCCCCGTGTCTTTCAATTATATAGTGAATATAATTCCTGGTCCGCCATTTTGAGAAACTGCCTTTAAAACACATGAAAGAAAAGTGTTTTAATATTTGATACTGTGCCGTCTGAAATATGTCGTCGATGTTTAGGGCGAGATAATACTGCACTGTCGCCGTCGAGCTGAATCATTTCACCTCATTCAGTGGAAACTATTTCATACAATAGAGCTGCACGCAAGAAATGCGCACAAACCTGGAAATAAACGAAAGAAAACGCGCGTCACAGAAAAACCAATGGTGGGAAATTAACATGCATTTTATTTGATCATCATCACAATCGTCGCCTTTAAATTTGACCTAAATCATTAGTTAAAAAAAAACTGTTATTCAAATAGATGTCAAAATATTGTACTTCACATAGAAAAGTAAAGCATGCACGGATATTTCAAATATTTGATGAGAAAATGAACTTTGTTTAATTATATAATGTATCAAATACCTATAAATACCAACTACAGCAGTGGAAATCGTCTAACGTCCAGATATGCGACTCTGCATTTAATGCGAAACCGTGATAAAAATGTATCAAAACACTCGATGCGCGCACATAATCCTGTAATACGTGACAATATTGCGAGCATTTCTTTTTGATTTCATTGTTGTATAGAGGCTTGAAAGTTTCCAGCGCCGCGGATGCAGTGCCGGCAACAGCGCGCTCTGCTGGCGGATCCGGGAATGACTCACATGCGCTAGGCCTCATGCGGCACTAACACACACACACACACACACACGGAGACACACACACACACACACACACACACACACAGACACACACACACAGAGACACACACAC